ACAGCTCTATACCACAAAATCTACAATAATGCATCACTTTTACTTCTTGAATGATCTCAGTTTTAATTTAGGACTAGGGGCTAGTTTGCTCTCTCCTACTATAGCCTAGGCCTAGCCAAGAAAGTCGCCATTTTTCAAAAGCAATTCCGTCTCTCTCTTGAGTTGACGTACGTGCGCGAGCGCCCAAACTCTACTTGTTCGTTGGTGGCGCACCACTTTTCTATAAAAGGCCGCCGTTAATCTATCCTGGATGGCTTGTGCGAGTACAACTGTTAGGCCTCATAAAAAAAATGATTAGTTTATCATCCCCGCGCGCATCTCTTTTGACGAAATCGCGATTTATTTATTTTTTTTTTTTACTAGATTTTTTTTATTGAAAAAACGATCGTTTGTTCGTCAAAAACAAATTTTAAGGCTGGTGAATGATGATTTTCGATCTTTAGAGTAGTCGCCAAGTAACAATATCTATTTATAGGCGATCTTTTTCATACTGCGCATGTCCACAAAGAAAGAGAGATATGACGTTCGTTGACGACGAACGGCGAACAAATCTCGAAGTTTCGCGCGCTAGCTTTGCTCTCTCTATAATATCTAGGATCTCGATCCACCCTGTGGTGGCTGGAGTACAGTAGATAGTTCATTGTATTTCGTATAGTTGTACTTCAAACTTTCAATATTCAGGTAAATTGTTTTGTTATAGATCACCTTTTTAGTTGTGGTCAGGAACTTCATTATTTATATACAATATTGTATATATTCTTGCCATCTTTTAATATTTAAAATGCATATTTAATAAAAGTACATGTGTCATGTGATTGATATTTAATTTACTATCTCGGCCAGGTTTTGGCACACCATACGCCCACAAATTGCTTGAAGAGAGAGTCATTATTTGTTTGTAGCGTTTCCTTTTTTGTTTGCAGCGTTTCTGTTTAGTTTGCAGCGCGTTCTCTTTTTTGTTTGCAGCGTTTCTGTTTTTGTTTGCAGCGCGTTTCTTTCTATTGCAGTGCGTTTTCTTTTTTGTTTGCATCATTTCTTTTTTGTTTGCAGCATTTCTTATTTGTTTGCAGCATTTCTTTTTTGTTTGCAGCATTTCTTTTTTGTTTGCAGCATTTCTTTTTGTTTGCAGTGTGTCCCTTGTGGGCCATCGTAATAAAGAGATGAAGAGCTAGTGTGAAATAGTGAGAGTGAATAAGTGTTGGTGAATTATGTCTATAATAATGTACAATATCCGTTGTATATATTACATTTGATGACTTCTGTTTTAAATGCATCATTAGATTCATCTTGAGTACGGACATATATCCCTCTCTATCAGTACTCCCACTCTAGTTAGTACTCGAATTATATTTCTAGTTTATATTTATTGTTTATTATAATTATATGTATGTTTGCTGCAGTTAGCGAAATGTTTATCTTGTTGATGTGTGTCTGTACAAAATGTTTTCCTATAACATTATGCACAACAAAAATTAAAAGTCACAATCTTAAACAAAAGTAGGCCTATTGCTATTAGATTGGTAAATCATTAGTCTGGGTGCCATTGAGGTCGTGCCATTCTGGTGAATTATTTCGAAAATCTGGCAAATAATTTCTCAGCTTTTAAAAATGTCTCAGACACCGTAACATTTATTGAAAGAGCAGAAATGATTTTTTTTTTCTTTAAATAGCCTATGGCGTTGTGGGAATACTCGAATGCCAGAAAATCACCTGTTTGTCCCGGTCCTTAGTAGCTACTGACATGTTGGTTAACATCTATAAATAAATATTAGTCAGATAACGTAAACTGACAAATTTAACTAGGAATACATATCAAATTTGTTTTTATAATTATTGTATTACTGAACATTGATTGGTTGGCAAATAGTGCCATGTACTGAATTATATTACCGGTAAAATAGGCTCAATTTAATCATTCAATCAATCAATTACCGTTCCGGTTGAAAACGTTAAAACCAATAGGGCCATGTAAGAAAATATACATTTAATAAAGATTGATTCGATTGATATAATAATATTCCACATTTGACATTCATAGTCAGTTTCTAACTAGGCTATATAATATATTTTGACATAATGATATAAATATTATATCATATCATCTTATATTATATCATATTATGATATAATGTGTGTTTAATCGAATTACTATTATAGGCCTATCTCCACATTTCTTTAGATTATGTCACGGTTATATCAAAAGCTTTTGAGAGTAAAACTCATAAAACGGGACCTGCCACTGACGAATACAAAAAAAACCCCGATATATTATCATAACATCGTCATATTTATAAAAGTTATTATACAAGGGAGAATCAATATTACATTGAACGTGAATGGTATACTTAGAACGTGACTTATTATACAATATATAACTCGATATTCTGACAGAAAGCTCAAAATAATATATATTTTTGATATTGTTATAAATGTTGAGATTGTTTAAATTCTACTTGGTGGATTCATTTTCAAAAGTAATGATACAATCTATTTGTATTACTAGGGAAAATCAAAACAGATACCACACTAGAAACGATGGTTGAAGTTACATTGTTAGAAATTATAAAAGAAACATTGTGAGATGTATTGTGTCGTAAATAAACGTTTATAACACAATAAGATATTTATAGATATTTTCAAATTGATGTTTGATTTTCTATCAACTTTCTGTGATTTTTGGTTTCATAGTTTAGTGCATCTATAATTCATTTTTTCTGCGTGACAATGTTGTGGAGAGAACAGTTCATGGGATATAGTATACAGTGAGAAATGGAGTTTCATATATTTGTACACTGCACAGGGATGATTTTGTAAATAAATTAGATCAAATTAAAAACGAATTATGTGTGGTGAATCTATATGGTATTATCATTGGAACTGTTTCATGAAATATAGGCCTTAACGCCTTACAATGTGCCAGTGCAAAACAAAGTATCTATTGCATACACACCTTATATAAAATAAAATCTGTAATAATTACAACATGTTAATTGTAATAATTTAAAGGCCTATTCGTTGCTCATTAGTATCTATAAGTTACTATTGAACAATAAGA